TAAAGCTACTATTAACATTCACCTGAAGGTTTTTCTGTGGACATAAGTTTCCAAATCTGTTGGTAAATTACTATGGAGCACAATTGATTGATTTTTGGTAAGACTATGTTCATCTTTGACTCCAAAGTGACTGTACCATTTTTCATTTCCATCAATGAGAGTTCCTGTTGCTCCATATGTTTGCCAGCATTTGGTGTTGTCAGCATTTTTTGAATGAGCCATTCCAATAGGCGTGTATTGGCACCTCATTATTGCTTCAGTTGCAAATTTCCTGATGACATACAATGTTGAATATGTTTTCATATGCTTACTTATTACATTGGCCATGCCTTTCAGGTCTAGGACAAGGTTCTACAGAAGACAATACACGGTCTGAATTCGCATGCCGTATATGGTGTTCTTTTATTTTTCTTTTTGCAGCCAGGACTCAAGGGTCCAGGAATCAATATGTGGAAATAGGTGTGGTGCCACTCACTATCTCCCCTGATGACCCAGTAACAAAATGTTTGCTCCCTGTTCTCAATATTTTATGATCTGCTGGCCTGGAGGTGTCATTTCTGGAGAGAGCAATGTTTCTACCAGAAGATACGACAATGATTTTATTCATCTGGAAATGAAGACTGCCATATGTTGACTTTGGGTTCCTCATGCCTTTGAATCCACAAGCAAAGAAGGGTGTTACTGTGCTAGCCGGGGTGATTGATCCTGATCATCAACAGGAAATTGGACCACTGCTTTACAGTGGTAGTACGGAAGAGTGTGTTTACACAACAGGAGATCAATTAGGATGTCTCTTAGTATTACTAAGCAGGCGACTGAAGCCAATTCAGATAGGACTACTAGTGGCCCAGACCCTTTAGGAATGAAGGCTTGGAGGCCATCAGATAAAGACCCATAACCAGCTGCAGTGCTTGGTGAAGATTAAGGAATACGCAATGGAAGAAGAAGCTTCAAATATAAGTTATCAGCTCATGACCTATTACAGACATGAGGACTGTTATTTTCATAAGTATTTCCTCATTTTTTACGAATATGTATGTGGGTGTATATGTGTGTATATATTTTTCTTTCCTCTCTCACTTCATTATCACATAACATGAACTATATAGACTTCATATTATGCTGTGTAAATTTTGTTAATTTTACACGATGTGTCTTAGTCCATTAGTGTTGCTATGAAGGGATACCTGAGACTGGATAATTTTTTTTTTTTTTTGGAGACGGAGTCTCGCTCTCGTCCCCCAGGCTGGAGTGCAGTGGCGCGATCTGGGCTCACTGCAAGCTCCGCCTCCCGGGTTCCCGCCCATTCTCCTGCCTCAGCCTCCGAGTAGCTGGGACTACAGGCGCCGCCACCTCGCCCGGCTAATTTGTTGCATTTTTTTAGTAGAGACGGGGTTTCACCGGGTTAGCCAGGTGATCTCTTGACCTCGTGATCCGCCCGTCTCGGCCTCCCAAAGTGCTGGGATTACAGGCTTGAGCCACCGCGCCAGGCCGAGACTGGATAATTTTTAAAGAAAAAAAATAAACAGTTTATTTGGCTCATGGTTCTGCAGGCTGCATAAGAAGCATGTCACCAGCATTTGCTTCTGCTAAGGGTTCCAGTCTGTTTCTACTCACGGTGGAAGGCAAAGCGGAGCCAGCATTCAGAGATCAGCTGACAAAAGAGTAAGTGAGGGCCAGCGAGATGCCAGACTCTTTTTAACAATCATTTATTGCAGGAACTAAAAGTGACAACTCACTCATTCCCATGAGAATGGCACAAGACATTTGTGAGGGATCCACACTCACAACCCAAATATCTCCCACCAGGCCCTACCGTCAACATTGAGGATAAAATTGCAACATGATTTTTGAGGGTCAAATAGCAAAGCTATAGCATTATAGTATTTCACTTACAGGATAGCAAGAGGAGTAAATGTCACATAAGGGCTTTACTTATTCTGGGAAAGGGACTAGTGCATTTTCAGTTGTATGTGGGACAATTTTATTATGTTTGCTGGAATTGTAGTTATGTTACTGCATTTATTTAAAGATTAAGTATGTTTTAGGGAAATGCATATGGGTGCCAACTTGACAACATGTGCACTTATGATGGTTAAATTTATGTGTTTGTCATCTGTATTATGTCACTGAGTGCTTAGATACTTAATTAAATATTATTTGTGCCTGTATCTATGAGGTTGTCTCTAAAACATGTTAGTGTTTGAATTCATAGAGTGAGTAAAGCAACTCATTCTCCCAAATGTGGGTGGACATCATCCAATCCATCAAGGGTCAGAATAGAACAACGTTGCAGAAAATGACGAATCTCTAACTCTGCGTGCTTGAACTGGGGCATCAGTCTTCTGTCCTTGCAATGGCGCTATTGGTTTTCAGGTTTTCAGACTTACGCTAGTATTTATCGTATCAGTTTTCCTAGTTCCAAGGTCTTTAGACTTGGACTGGAACTATATTGTCAGTTTCTTGAGTCTCTAGTTTACAGGGAGCAGTTCTTGGGACTTCTCAGCCTGCATAATCACACAAAATAATTCCCTGTTTGGATGGATGGATGGATAGAGAGATAGATAGATAGATAGATAGATAGATAGATAGATAGATAGATAGATAGATAATAGAGACATACAGATCTATCTCCTATTGGTTATGTTTCTCTGAAGACCCTTAATTAATATATCTTCACTTTTCTGATGGGTATAAAAGAAATTGTTGATTTTCAAATTGCTCAGCTTCTTTCTTGCTATAAGTATGAGGTATAATGATTTCCAAGGTCTTTCCATATTCGAGATGAAAGCAAAGTCTTGCTCACCACATTCAGTACCAAATATATAGTTTCCTGGTCATTATAGGAAATTCATAAATACTTATTGAATGACTGAATAAATAAATTAATGTATTAGAGGAGATAGGATTAAGAAAATGCTAAAAGCTAGGTAGTGAGATATACAAAATATATTCAAGGAAATAAAAATATGTATAGTGATAAAATAACAAGGAGCTAGAAATAGGAGGATGGGAAAAATCTATTTCAAAATGATGACTACATCATGGAGACATTGTCAGAGCTACAACTTAAAGTACTTGGCAGGGTAAGTTAAGGGGTTAAGACTTCATTTTATGAGTTGTGGAGACTCTTCAAAGGCCTGGGGACTCAACATGATCTGAAATATTATTTGTTAAACATAGATTTAGTGGGTTTTATCTGGAGAAATGATGATCAGAAAATCATTTGGGAGATTATAAACAGAATAGAAGATGATGACGGTGTAAGTTAGGGTATCATGAGTATCAAGAGAAGTATAATAATTCATGTGATATTTAAGAAACAGAATTAATAAAACTAAGAGATGGAAGAAAACAGGGAAAGAAAGGTAACCTAAAATATTAGTAATAACTTCTCAGCTCCTTAGACATTGGGTTAGAAGCTTAGAGATCATTGAAACTAGAAATATAAGAAGAAGTTCAAGTTGAGTTTTGGGGTGGTAGATATACATTCAGTTTTATACATCTTACTCTTTTAGTATTATTTTGGATGTAAATGTATAAAGCTCAAAAAACATATTTGGGCATAAGATTGAGGTTTGAAGTCATCATCAGATATTAATTGAAGAAATGGAATAACGTAAGAAAGAGCCTTGTCAAATGTTACAGTTAAGACATTGAAAAAAAAAATGAAATGATCCATGAAAATAGAGCTTATGAGCTCTTCTATTTAACAAAAGGAGAGTAAAGAGGAAAACCAGGTGAGGACATAAAGAATCAAAATAACACAGAAAATGAGAAAAGGAAATAGGTCAGGAAAAGAATTACCTGTAGAAAATGCTGCTTACTAAGAGACCTGTTAAAGTTAATTTGGATTCAACAGCAAGGAAAGTACTTAACAGTTTTGCAAGGCTAATTTTAGTGTAAAAGCAAGTGTGCAGTGAATTGTCAATTATTTGTACGGTGATAAATGAAGCTAGTAACTATAAGAAACAATATACTAAGGAGGGAGACTCATAAAGCAGAAAAGTAGACTTGGGTATGCTTAATGTGGATAAGAATGTCAATTAGAGATTGAAATATAATTTAAGCTTTTAAATGACTTCTGATTAATACCTTCTTTAATGACTTCTGATTAGATATATATTGTAATCATACTTTAGCAGTAGTTGATTCATTTAGACACTTTGTCATCCTTAAAATGCTATTTTCACTTGGGCTTAAGAAAGCATACATTGTTTTTTAATCTTCTTTTGCCTCTTAGTCCTTGCTGCTGATTTTCCCTAAGATTTCTGAGTTTTTAATGTTAAGGTATATAAAGGACCAATTCTTCAATCTCCTTTTCCCTACTCATTCTCATTGCTGTGTTGATTTCATCCAATGTTGTGTCTTTAACTTCTATTTACATATAATTATTTCTTTAAACTTTTCATTTAGACATTCTCTCTAAAATCTAAAATCACATATAAAACTAACCACTTAGCTTCTCCACTTCTATGTTTTAATAGTCACCTTAATTATACTATAGCAAATACTTTGTGAGATTTTATGCCAAATCTCTTCTTATGGTCTCAGCAAATGACAACTACATCCATTCAGTTTTTCATGCAAGACCTTGAAGTTATGATTGTTCTTTTCTTTTTCTCCGCATATAATAATAGCAAACACATGAGAATCTTGTTGGCTCTTCGTCCTGAAAACTATGTGTTCAGAATCTGACCACTTCTCATAATCACTAACATTATCATCAACATCATACTACATCTGGATTAGTGAAGTAGACCAAAAAATATAAACAAAGATTTTCATGGAACCATTTTTGTAGTATTAATATCCATCACAATTGAAGAAATAGTTAACTTGTGGAATATTCATAAATTGAAGAGATCATGGCAATGCAAATTCCACCAGACACTATATGGAAGAAGGTCATAAAAATGGTGAGTAAAATAAAATAAAAAATGCAATATAATTTTACTTTAAAGTTCATCAAGTGTGAAATTTAAAATAAATATTGCGAGACCTGGCTGCTCTGCCCCGCGGCTTGTGCGCGCTTGTGGACCGCGCGGGCCTTCGGGAGATCGATGCAGGCCTGGGGCAGTCTCCTTTCTGGACTGAGAAGAGAAGAGTGGAGAAGAGCCCCTTCCCATTAGTGCTTTTGCATTGGTTTGGCTTTGGCTACACACAGCACTGGTTGTTTCTGGTGGGATCGTTGGCTATGTAAAAACAGGCAGGGTGCCGTCCCTGGCTGTAGGGCTGCTTTTCGGCAGCCTAGCTGGCCTGGGTTCTTATCAGATGTCTCAGGATCCAAGGAACGTTTGGGTTTTCCTAGCTGCTACATCTGTTACTTTTGTTGGTGTTATGGGATTGAGATCCTACTACTATGGAAAAATCATGCCTGTAGGTTTAATTGCAGGTGCCAGTTTGCTGATGGCCGCCAACATTGGAGTTCCTATGTTGATGACATCTGATTAGCAGAAGTCATGTTCCAGCTTGGACTCCTGAAGGATTAAAAATCTGCATCTTCCACTATTTTCAATGTATTAAGAGAAATAAGTGCAGCATTTTTGCATTTGACATTTTACCTAAAAAAAAAAAGACACCAAACTTGGCGGAGGGGTGGAAAATCAGTTGTTACCATTATAACCCTACAGAGGTTATAATGAGGATGTAACATGAGCTTATTGAGACCCTCATAGAGATCGATTCTTGTATATTGATGTTGTCTCTTCTTTCTGTATCTATAGGTAAATCTCAAGGGTAAAATGTTAGGTGTTGACATTGAGAGCCCTGAAACCCCATTCCCTGCTCAGAGGAACAGTGTGAAAAAATAGAGTATTTGTTCTTCTGCTCATCTTAGACCACAGACTGACTCTGAAATTATGTTAAGTGAAATATCATTGAAAATGAAGTTTACTATAAATAAAAAGATAAAAAAATAAAAAAATTAAATATTGCTCAGGAGCGCATAACTATGTAGTGAAAATATCCAGTTAGGACTTCTACTTCCAGTCATAGCATAGTGACTGCTACTGGCCTCAACTTTCTACCACAAAGAACTATGTATAAAATTGGACATATGGGGAGAATGCTTTAAGGAAATTCTGAGAGACAGAAAACTCATGAAAGAAGAGGAGGCGCTATATCACTTCCATTTTTTTTTTCCTGGGAACAATTTTATGACTGCAGTATGGACAGCTGGAGCCAAAGAAGACATATATATTTTTTAAGGATCTGAGAATAAAGGTACTGAAGTGGCTTGAATCATAGGGTCAAGTCAGCACAGAAGAGATAGTTAAACATTGTGGGGATCCAGAAGTCTATGTCCAATTTCCCTATGTGTCTTTGTACCCAGACTTGACTGTATATATGTAGAGTTTATCAGAGATTATCTGTCATGGTGATAAAAGGAAAACAGTAATGCTAGGAGTATATCAGTGCTCAGAAACATTGTTCCAGCTCAGCCAGGCTGGAGATATGTCATTAATACCAAACTCACAAAGCTGATTGGCAAGAAAAGCTATACCTTGAGAATAACGAGCAAACCCTAGAGGAAGGTCTGGTCAATAGTCATAGAAACTAAGTAATGTAGTTTGGATAAGTGTCCCCACCCAAATCTCATGTTTAATTGTAATCCCCAATGTTGGAGGTGGGGCCTTGATGAAAGGTGATTGGATCATGTGAGTGGATTTCTCGTGAATGGTTGAACAATATCCCATTGCTGCTGTTCTCATGATAGTTAGTTCTCATTACCTCTGGCTGTTTAAAAGTGAGTGGCACCTCCCCCGAACCTTGTTCCTTCTTTCGCCATGTTATATGCCTGTTCCCCCTTTTCCATCGACCATGATTGAAAGCTTCCTGAAGCCTCTTCAAATGCAGACACTTCTATGCTTCTTATACAGCTGCAGAACCGTGAGTCAATTAAACTTTTTTTCTTTAAAATCACCCAGTCTCAGCTATTTCTTTATAGCAATACAAGAATGACCTAATAAACTAGGTAAATAAAAGCCAAATCTATAAAGATTTTGGAAGTTTAATAATACAAAGTTAAAAGAATTCTGAGCTTTCCACAAATCAAACATAATAAACCATCAAATGAAAGGTAATCAAAATCTATATTCACAGCCAGTAATCGGACTACCCACCAGAAACAAAAATTAAAACTCTTTGGAGGAAATAAGGGAATCTAGAGCTCATATATTATCCAAAACATTTTAAATACAATTCAAAAATCACTAGCCATTAAAAAATAGGAAAGTACAACCAAAAATAAAAATGGTAGTCAATATCATCCAATTGCAAGATGGCACAGATGTTAAATTTTGTATAAAAAGATGTTTAAAAATGAATATAAATATTTTCAAGGACTTCCAGGAAAATATGGTCCTTATGAGTGAAGAGATAAATAAACTAACTCGATAAACTAAAAATCAAAACTAAAATGTAACCAAATAGAAATTTTACAACTAAAACTAGAATAACATAAGTAAAAATTTCCCTAAAAGTGTTTTAACAACAGATAAAAGATAGTAGAATATGGTATACGTGAATTTGAAGATAAAACAATAGAAATAATTCAACCTGAAGGACAGAAAGTAGGTGTATTGTATTAATCAGGGTTCTCTAAAGGGACACAAGTAATAGGATATACAGATATAAAGATGTATATAGATATAGATATATGGGATATCTATATATAAATATATGGGATATCTATATTTATCTATATATAGATATATCGATATAGTCGGGGTTCTCTAAAGGGATACAACTAATAGGATATCAATATATCTATATCTATATATCTATAGATATCTTTTTAGATATATTAGATATGTTATATAAATAAAGTATAATATAAATAAAATAGTATTAACTCACGATCACAAGATTTCACAATAGGCTCTCTGCAAGTTGAGGAATATGGTAGCAAGTACGAGTCCCAAAGCTGAAGAACTTGGAGTCTGATGTTTGAGGGCAGGAAGCATCCAGCACAGGAGGAAGATGTAGTCTTGGAGGCTAAGCCAGTTTAACCTTTTCACATTTTTCTGCCTGCTGTATATTCTAGCTACTCTGGCAGCTGATTAGATGGTGCCCACCCAGATTAAGGGTAAATCTGCTTTTCCCAGACCACTGACTCAAACGTTAATCTCCTTTGGCAACACCTTCGCAGACATGCCCAGGATCAATACTTTGCATCCTTCAACCCAATCAAGTTGACAGTATTAACCATCACATGTATTGACAAAAAGGTAACAGATACTCAAGGTCATGTGGAACGATACAATAGTTTAAAAATTACATATAACTGGATTTTCAAAATGAAAAGGGAGAATGAGACAAAAAATATTTTAATAAATGGTTGATTTCCAGTTTTTATTTTTGATTCCCAATTTTGATTATCACTATAGTTTTTTAGAAGGTAGGAGAGTTAATACTGACTTCAGCATAAGAAGTGTAATTCTGAGGGCTCAACTTGCGATTCTAACCATTATACACTATTAGGGTAAGACTCTTCTGTTCATTCTACACTATATGTCATGAATTATGAATACTGGTTAGAACAGACACTGTCCGCATGAAGTGCATGCTGGGTACTGTCTCTAATCCTTTTGGGTTGTTGTTTCTCTGGCCTTGGATTGTTTGCTCATACATATACACTTATAATTACTCTGCTGAATAGTCCAGGAGGACCTTCCGGGTAAGTCCAGAATGCCCACATAGTGCAGCTCCCTCCTACCTGTACTCTATCCTATGAACTCTCATTGCTTGGTCTTTCTAAATTTCTTCCATCTCTTTAAGTCTGCAGTCTTCCAGTCTTCACTTTTGTTTTCTCTCTCTGCACTGCACCCTGGAAACTCTATCAAGGCTGTAAAATAATGCAGTTATAGAACTTCCATCATTTTGGGGTTTTCCTCCCATCTTAAGGGATCAATATCACATGTTTTTTGATGGTCAGTACCTTGAAAATGATTACTTCAAATATTTTACCCAGTTCTTTTGGTAGTGTTAGGCAGACTGAGACATTCAGTCTTTGTTACTCTATATTGACCAAGAGCAGGAATCTAGGAAACTTTTATAATTTAAAAATGAGTATTATTGGATACAGATAAACCATTAGAAAATTAAAGCCTGTTAACCCACTGATAAATATGGAATATTAAAAATAAGTATTTATTTAATCCTAAGTAGTAATAAAATAGAGGAGGCACAAGTAAAAAAAAAAATTCACAGAAAATAAATCCAAAATTATCAATAATTACATCGAATGTTAATTGACTATATGATCCAATTAAATGTCACAAATTATTAAATTAGATTAAAAAAGAAGGTCCAGTTATATGTCATGTTTATATTTAAAGATCTACTTTGAATAGAAATTTGTGAGCATGCTAAAATTATAGACAATTTTTTTTTAAGTAAACAGAAGTACTTTTTTGGAAAGTTAAAACAATATTAAACAATTTGATCAAAATGACATTAACAAATATTACATTTAATAATTAAAGAAAACACTAATTAAAGTACACAGAAAACTTTCATAAAGATAATCTGTGAGCTGGGCTATGAAATAATACTCAATGAATGTCAAAATTCTGAAATTTGACAGAGTATGTTTAGAAAATGGAAAAGTTCCTTGAAAAAAGATAAAGAGAAGCATTTCATGATTAAAAAAAAATTAACCCAAAGAAATCTGCAGGGCTATACTGCTTAATTGATGGATTTTATTAAACTTGAAGATATTAAAAATACTACTAGTCATGCATAAACTCAGAAAACCTAAAAGGTTCATATAGCTATATTAGGAACTCAATATTTATTTTTATTGAATAAATATATTTAATAACATAAATAATTATATATATACTTATGTAATGAAACTTAGCAATGTGTACTTCTCTCTGTCTCTCTCTCTCTGACTCTTTGTCTCTCTCTCTCACACACATGCTCACACAAACTGAATAAATTTTGACTTTGACCAACAATTGGTCACTAGTTCTACAGACCTATTCCAATCCTTCTGAGTTTGTAGAGTCATCAAATAGGCCATTGTGTTGTAAAAAAACACTAGTTGTTCTTTATTATCTGTAATGATTATTTTGCCTGCTTGCAGAGTTTCACTTTTACTCCACAATCCTGAATACTCAAGCAGAAAAGAAGAATATATTAGATTATACACATGCCATGATAAAAGATACATTCTATATTCACTATGGATTTGAGATTACAATTAGTTCTCAATAGGCATTAAATAATAATGTGATGCAATACAACCCCAATTATACACACAGCAGGATAATGAGGACTACTCTCTGGGGAGAATAATCCATTCATTAATATTGTGCATTATTTGCTGATTCAGAAAAAGAATGTTGCTTTTTAAACACCTTCTGAAGAATTTGCCTTTTCTTTCATTACTAAATGCAACTGTATTTCACAAACTAAAGAATTAATTGATAAAATAACACAATTAAATTAATTGGTATCTCAGAATCACATTAGACAATGTAGATGTAGATACAAATTAAGGTTGATATATGAGTATTCATGTTCATGTATTTATTCATTATTTGAATTTTATTGAGTAAATATTTAGT